TCTTTTTTTTCTTATGTTTACTTCTTTTGAGAGAGAGAGCGAGCAAGCACATGAACCGGTGAAGGAGAGGCTGAGAGAGGAGAGAGAGAATCCCAAGCAGGCTGCACACTGTCAGCATAGAGCCTACCACAGGGCTCCAACTCAACCCTGAGATGACCTGAGAGGAAATCGAGTTTGATGGTCAGCCGACTGAGCCCCCCAGGCACCTCTGAAGTCTTTATTTTTAAGTAATCCCTACACCCAGTGGGGCTCAAATCCACGCCCTGGAGATCAAGAATCGCTTGCTCCACCAACTGAGCCAGTCAGGAGCCCCAAAATTGAGTGTTTTTTAAAAAGTCAAAAAAAAAAAAAAAAAAAAAAAAAAGTAGGTCTCTTGTAGACCTAACAGCACAAATAGAAGAAAAATACAAATATGAGCTCTCTAAAACAATATAAAATACTCTATTTGGAAGTACAAAAGAAAATAAAGAAAACAATAGAAACTAGTTCCTGACTTTAAGGGTTTCAATTCGATATATTTCATCATCTTTTTGTTAGAAATTTCATACTTCTGGGAAGAAAATTGCAAAATACACTGCAGAAAGATTCACAGCTTTTTTTTTCTCTACCTAGAAAATCGTTGCTTGCATTAAGTAGTGAATTTCTGGGTGAGTGTTAATACTAATAACATTTTTAAACATATAATTTTTATTGAATAAATGAGATACAGGAAATATAAATACAGTACAGTGTGCTGTACTTCCTGGAAGTAGATGTTTTTATTCGTGTAGGTTATATAATGTTATTGGGGGACATTAGTTAATAACAGTGGAAATAATTGTCGTAAATTGTAGGCTATATGTTTGTTTATCCCATAACCAACTTGTTGAGGAAGCATATAAAACTCAATTTGATGAGTATCATCGTGTTGTGAAAATGTAAATTAAGGTTGTGTAATAAATAGGTAAGGTAAGGTTTACATCATCAGTATTGTATGATAATATTTATTCAGCACCCACATGATTGGGGTATTGCAGTAATATATATTAAACACCCACAAGATTGAGGTGTTGCACTATACCCTGTTTAAATCATTGAGAAGACTTTGTAATAAAATATTTCAGGGGGGTGTGGGTGGCTCAGTCAGTCAAGCCTCCGACTCTTGATTTTGGCTCAGGTCCTGATCTCGTGGTTCATGAGTTCAAGCCCCGTGTTGGCCCCGTGCTGGCAGTGAGGAGCCTGCTTGGGATTCTCTCTCTCCCTTTGCTCCTCCCCTGCTTGCGTACTCTCTCTCAAAATAAATAAATAAACTCTAAAAAAAAAAGTCTTCAGGGGCGCCTGGGTGGCTTGGTCGGTTAAGCGTCCGACTTCTGCTCAGGTCATGATCTCACGGTCTGTGAGTTCGAGCCCCGCGTCGGGCTCTGTGCTGACAGCTCAGAGCCTGGAGCCTGTGTCTTCATAAAAAGAAAACATTTCAGTGACTGCTTAAGGTCCATCCTGATTCCAGTCCCAGTTAATAATGACTACTGCATCATTATATAAAAAGAATGAAATGAATCCTGTGAAGGTGGTATAATTTGAAATTCCTTGGGAAGTCCTCTTTCTCACACACTCCTAAATAATCTTTTGCCACTTATGCAAGGACCCTAACGGTCCATCAACATAGATTAATTCCTTTGAACTCATTTAAAATGAAAATTCTCGGGGTGTGGGGTAGCTCAGTCGGTTAAGCATCTGACTTCAGCTCAGGTCATGATCTCGCAGTTAGTGAGTTACAGCCCCGTGTCAGACTCTGTGCTGACAGCTCAGAGTGTGGAGCCTGCTTCAAATTCTGTGTCTCCCTCTCTCTGCTCCTCCCTTGCTCGTTCTCTCTCTCTTTCTCTCAAAAACAAACATTAAAAAAAAATTTTTTTTTAATGAAAATTCTCAAAGTGGGTAGAGAATGAGAGTTGGGGACGTGAAAATAAAGGGATAATTTTATCATATAAGGCAGTTTACATGAACCATAATAAAATACACTAGGAAGAGGCTAATCAACTTACCCCTCTGTTTCTGAGATTAAAAAGCAACAAAACAAAAACATGCACATAAACTCTCCTCCTAAATGAGATCACACATTAAAGAATATTTCGGCAGGGATGGGAACAAGAGGAAAAGAATTTCAGTTATTAGATTATTACTGACTTTTTCTGTGACCCAAGAACAAGTCATTTTTAGAGTGCAACCAAGAACAGGCTTATTTTGTGTTTATCAAAGTTGAGAATTGGAAAACAACTAGAGATGAGAGTTTCCTTAGTGAAAAGAGGAGGAACCCAGGTGCAGGAGAGCAGTAAATCCCTTTGATACTGGGGAAAAAACAATACCAAGAGGGCATGGGAAGGGGATGGAAATAAATGTCACCCTGATAAAACCTACCTAGTTTTATCAAAGGTTGGCCCTGACTTACAGGTCTTCATTTATACTTGAATAGTTTTTGTTTTAATTTTATTAAAGTATAGTAATGCATTCATTTGTTTGGAGAAAAATCAAATAGTACGAAGAGTCTCATGAGAAACAGTTTTCCATAGGCAATCAACTTTTAACTTTCGTTTTTATTTCATCAGGTGAGTACTTCTATATTTATAAATTAAACTATCTCTACCACTAATTGTTTTATTAATTTTTGACATTGTATATTCACTTGTCTTAAGATAGATGAAGATTTAGATAATTTAAACTATTTCCTAGTATTTTAGTTTTCTCTATGGTAACTGTAATTCAAATAATGTGAGTACTTTAAATATCTATCTCTTGAATTGTCAATTGTCAAAAGCATACAGAAACTCCTCACTCTGTGTAAGATGAAGGCATTGACTCATCTAACCTCTCACACTTTTTGGCCCCTTCTACTTACAACATCTTTTAGCTATATATATATATTTTTTTTAACATTGTCATGGATATAAATAAGAAGCTACAACAATTACTGTATCTGCTCTCTCTCTCTAGAGCAGTTTTCAGTGTTTCTCTTTCCTGCCCATAAAGAACTAGCTGTCCGGCTAACAAGCTTTCTTTAAATTCAAGATCACAGGGGTGCCTGGGAGGCTCAGTCGGTTGAGCGTCCAACTTCGGCTCAGGTCATGATCTCATAGTCTGTGAGTTCGAGCCAAGACATTAAGCCTTCCTCCGCGTTGATGACGGAGCCTGGAGCCTGCTTCGGATTCTGTGGGGTTCCTCCTCCTTCCCTCTCTCCTGACCTTCCCCTGCTCCATGCCTCCCATTCCTCCCTCTCTGTCTCAAAAACAACAAACCAGCATTCAGGCTTGGTGAAAGAGTTGATGTCCGACCAGCCAGGGAGTCACACGATCCGCTGGGTCAGGATTTGAGGCCCCGCCGTCGGGTTTCCCCATTGATGGCTCCAGTGGGGAGCCCGACCGAATGTTCGACGCCCCCAGGTCTCCCTCTCCTCTCCCTGCCCCTCCCCCTGCCTTATGCTCTGTTGTCTCCCCTCTCTGTCCCAAAAAATTGGGCCTAACTGCTTGAAAAAGAAAAAAAAAATTCAAGATCACAGACCCCAAATTGGTCATCCTATTCCAGTGTCCCAGAATACTTACTTTTTCACTCTCCACAATGACTACTTTGTATCTTCTTTCTCAGCCAATGATTTTCCTTTCTACTTTACAAAAAGCACTCATGAGCTCAGGCATTTTCCCACATCCCACCATTAAATGTACAATCCTTCCCATCATTGCGTGTATTCTCTATATCCTGTTAAAGACAAGGAAGTGGCTTCCTCCTGCTAATGGTCAGTCTTTCCAAC